TATATATATATATATATATAATACTTTATATGTTAAGTAAAACTCGAATTCTTGAAATCTTTAGTATTTGCATTGTAGCAAATGCTCCTGTACACAATATTTAGGTGAAGCTTAATTAGTAATTTATATAGTGAGATAATTACCTCTTTTGACTTGTAATCAGTATGCTTGTAAATACACTCTAAAATTCTGTGAGTAGTAGACACCAGCAACAGAGTGCTGCCTTAGTGGCTTGAGTGACTGACTTTACCTACCACTATTTCAACTTATGTCATTGTGTTTTCAATTCTTTCTTTACTTTTAGAATTTCCTTCTCAAGCCAATTGGTTTGTACTAGATATATATATATAAACTAATTCAAATTCAGCTTAAATAATAAAAATATGTATATTGTTCTGAAAAATTTATGTTAATGATTTATTAATTACAACTTTGAAAATTTGGTTATGTGTTTAGCTGTTAGTAAGAATTTAATATGTTCTTGATAAGTAGAAGGTTTGTTTTATGAAGAATTTAATATGTTCTTGATAAGTAGAAGGTTTGTTTTATACAACTGATCATATACTCTAAAACTACGATAAATCAGGAATATTTTTACTTCATGAAATGCAAGTTGTTTTTATTTAATAATTTCCAAATCCTTTTTAGATTCTGTTAAAATAAATTAATGCAAGTCATTGTGAATGAATTACTTATCTGGATTCAGAGACATTTCAGATTATTAGCTAACAAAAATAGAATGTATTTGTAAGTTCAAAATAAATTTTGGGTTATCCTATGTTGCCAGACTAAAAGAATGAAATTGTATTTAATACAATGTTTTTGTGATTAAACATTTAAAGCTGTATATAAAAGAAATGTTTGTTTTTTTCACTGTATATTCAGTATTAATTTTCAGTATACTTTGTTAAAACACTTGGGTGCAACAGAGGAACTAAGTGAAACAAAAGTATAATACACTTTTTCAGAGCCTATGACATACTTGTGCAAGCAGCAGAACTTGGCCACTCTGTGTCGCAGGAGATGACTGGAAAAGCATTTCTTTTTGGTGATGTTCTTTCTCAGAACATTGAATTCTCAGTGAAAGCCTTTGATCTACTGGCTAGGAAAGGTGTTCCTGCAGGACAATTGGTAAGCCAGATTGTGTCAGATTGTCTTTTTAATATAGAAAGCATCAGTTGAGACTTTGAAACCTCTCTCTGTGTGTAAACAATTTAAAAGAAGGATTAGTATTTGTCAATGATAGTACTCTGAGTGATAATTCTGTTTTCTTATATGTAATAAGAAATGTATTATACATTATTAGTTTTTACTTTGCACAAATTTCACCTTTGCTTAGTTTGTTTTTGAAATTTATTTACTTCTTATGCAAAATAATATTGATGACTATTCTTTAGTGATCCACATGTTAAGATATCTTGTCATTCTACAGTATCTTTTTATTGAATTTACCTTGCAGTCTTTTCTAACTTTTCTGAGAAGGAAGTTTTATTTTTATGATTCATTATTAGAAATTTTTGTTAATGAAACCAGAATAGCTAGATAGGGTCCAGTCACATCAACAATGGAATGGATATTTGTAGCAAAGACTTGCAAAGTTAAAAGTATTCTACTGCTTCAGAGCAGTGTAGTCTATTATTTGAGTGTCAAACAGACTATTATAACACTTTGTTGTATAATGAAGACATTTTCACAGGGGTTGAAAAGAATGCAGAATGTTTGAGCTCTGAGAGAAAAAAGAAAAAATTTGCTAACTGGTATTTTCTAAAGACTTCCTTCTTGACACTGAGTAGGTACAGGCAAGTTAGCTTTACCAGTAGAGGCAAGCTTATCATTATGGTATATTACCATGAGTAGTCTATCCTTTTCACACAGACTTGAATAATTTCATGAATTATGGAGAATGATTTTTTTTTTACTTTCAATTTGTGAAATATCCTAAAAAGAAGATACTATTTTAGAACTTATTTGTGATATTATGACAACTTTTATTATTTTTGTTGCTTCTGCTGAAGTCTGTGTAGAACTGAAGTCTATTCTCAGAAGTCATTTAGAAAAAAAACATGAAAATAATGATTTTCCACACAGTTTAGCAAATGGCTTTATTTCTTTACCAATTTATGGAGATTTTTTAATTGAACTTTTTTTTGAATAAGAACATCTATTGCTGTTGTGTATTTGGACTTCCAAAAAGCTTTTGATAAGATGATTTACAAAAGATGAATTAGTAACTTGGATGTTTATAGGATAAATTGGTTGAAAAGTGGATACAAAATTGGCTTGGTAGTAAAAGGAAAAAATTCCAAAGTATCTAATGATACTAAGTTGCTTGGAAGAGTTGATTCTGTTCTGGTATTTATATGAACCTTGACAGTCTTAGTACTTGGGCCAAAATGCAGCAAATCAATTTCAGTATTTAGAAGTATGGATTATAGGAATTTGTAATAGGCATTTTAATGGAGTGATACAAAGATTGGTGAAGTGGAAAAAAGAAGGATTTATGTCTCTCCTCCAATCAGAAACATGTTTTAACCAACCAATCATAAAATGCTCTGCACAATCCACTAGAACACTATAAAGACCACACACACACACACTGACCTGAAGACGAAAGGTGGAAGACTTTTGAAACATCGTCCTCTACATTTGTAGGTATCTACAACAGGCAGTTGCTGTCCATTTGAAACTTAGATTTATTATGAATACTCTGCCTAAACAGCCTATCAAAGATTAATAAAACAATCTTTTTGTTGGATATTTAGCTGTGCTGAAAAAGCTAAAATTAATTTTTATTTTTAAATAGAAATTTTGAATTTATGAGCAAGAATGTTATTGTAATCCTACACAAGATTGATGATGCCTCATTTAAAGAATTTTTGCTGTTTTGGTTTCATTGCTACACAAATAATATCAGCATGTTAGAAAGAGTCCAGGGATAGACTACTAGAATGATACTTGATTTAATTTAAATCAACTATCATTTTAGTAGTCTAACTGAGAGGGAAGGCATAAACTTTCAGACTTGTTAGCTTGAATTATTGGAAAACCTTGTGTTGAATAGGTATGTGGATTTGAATTATGTTTTGACTCTTGTTTTCATGGATGAGGAGTGATCTTGATAGACCAACTGATCTTCTAGATAGGTAGGTCAGTGGGAGCAAGTTTGCTGCTTGTGATTTAAAAAAAAATTATATGTTGGATTATGAACTAAAAGATAATTCAAATCTTATAAGATAAAATATGCATTGAGGGTGGAACTGTGTGTCTGAAAGATAACATCAGTTTGATTTGAAGACAGTTCATATACCCAGTTGCAGTCAGCCCTCATGATTTTCCGTGTTTGTAGATACAAAACAAGTATAATGAGAACAATAAAACCTATTGGCTGGTACCCTATCAAATGTTTATTTCAATAACAAAAATATTTATTTTGTAGTTGGTAAGATGTCTTTACACACGTCTTGCTTTGCTACATGTTTATAGCTCTTGGTAGTTCTACATGGAAAGAAATGTAACTTTTCATTTTCAGTATAACCTATAGACTTGGTTTTGATCTGTCACCATTATTTTTTCTTAAATTCATATTGTATTATGATCTTTATCTTCAGTGTTACTTTATTTTGTAATATATCTTTCTTTGCATAATATTCCTGGATCACATATAATTTGCTGTATACCTTGTAAATTAAATGTACTGTTATTATTTATTTTGCAGCACCTTGGATTTCTATATGCCACTGGAATAGGAGTAGACTCAAGCCAAGCAAAGGTAAACATTTATTTCATAGGGTTATCCATGATAGTTTTTAGTTCATTTGGTCTTAATTCTGGCAGGATAGTTTTTAGTTTCTGCTTTATTAATTTATTAGCTTTACCTAACCCATAAAAAATGGTGAGTTGGAGTTTTGTAAAAATACCCAGTGGCCCCTCACCCTTCATTCAGTGAGCTTTGTTCACCAGACTTCCCCCTATTCAGTTAAGATAGTTTTTGCCTGTGTAAGCTGATGTGACCTATACAGTTAAGATAGATTTTGATCCTGTAAACTTATGTAACCTATACAGTTGAAATAGCTTTTCTATATTTTTAATTTTATCCCTTGCCACCCTGGCATATGTGGTGATGTGTGTCCCATTTATATTATTAGGTTAACTTGTAAGGTGTCCATCATCAGTTCTGTGATATGCAGACATCTATTACTGCTAGATATTATACAAGAAATATGTTTTCTAGTTTGTTATTATTTTGTTCTTTGAGTAAATTATAACAAATGTACTTTCAAGTACTGTGATTTAGTATAACATACTCAGAAGTATGCTAATAATTGGGTAACAGTATAGTATCAGGAGCTGATATCAAGACAGTAACTTTGTTAGTATCTGGACAATAGAATGATGTGCACAGACCAAGATTTGTTAGTATCTGGACAATGGAATGATGTGCACAGACCAAGATTTGTTAGTATCTGGACAATAGAATGATGTGCACAGACCAAGATTTGTTAGTATCTGGTCAATGGAATGATGTGCACAGACCAAGATTTGTTAGTATCTGGACAATGGAATGATGTGCACAGACCAAGATTTGTTAGTATCTGGACAATGGAATGATGTGCACAGACCAAGATTTGTTAGTATCTGGGCAATAGAATGATGTGCACAGACCAAGATTTGCTAGTATCTGGACAGTAGAATAATATGCACAGACAAAGCTTTGTTAATATTTGGACAGTAGAATGATGTGTACAGACTAAGCTTTGCTAGTATTAGGACAGTATACTTGTGCACAGACGAAGCTTTGCTAGTATCTGGACAGTAGAATGATGTGTACAGACTAAGCTTTATTAGTATCTGGACAGTAGAATGATGTGTATAGACTAAGCTTTATTAGTATCTGGACAGTAGAATGATGTGCACAGACCAAGCTTTGCTAGTATCTGGACAGTAGAATGATGTGCACAGACCAAGCTTTGCTAGTATGTGGACAGTAGAATGATGTGCACAGATCAAGCTTTGCTAGTATCAGGATTTGATATTCCAGTGTCCAGATGTGTGTTTTCACTCACTTTCCATGTGACTACAGACATTTGATTGTGCTTGATCACACATTTCTATTAGTTTCTACTTCAAGTTTTGTCTTCCTGTGTGTGATTTCCATTGTTTCTACTCGTTTGTTTCAAAAATATGCCTGTTGTCTGAATTCTACTTTGTTCACATTGATTTGGTATTTAATGTGGCAGTTGTTGAATTTCCTGCCAAAAGTAGACAATGGTTCTGCACATGTCCCCAAGTCTTGGGGTTGACAATGTCTACTGGGTAAGTCCAGGCTGCAGTTTGTGGGGAGTTCTTGTCTTATGTTCAGCCAATGATTTCTTCCTTTTATAATTTTTTTCTGAGGAAGGTTATACCTACTAAGTGGAAAATTCTTTATATGGCACCTACGACCTTTACCTCACCTCCATGTAATCTCCTGGGTTATTTATTGTTATTTTTCTCAGGAGATTTGTAGTAAGTTTTTCAAAATTTCTTCCTCACTCCCAGTAGGTATTCCCATGTTTAGCCGTTTATTTAAGCTTGTGTGGTTAGGCCTATTTTCCTCACGTGATAAATTAGGTCTTTCATGATTTCTCGGCTTAGTATTTGGTGAGTTAGATTTGTATAATTCTTTTACCAACTATGTTACTTTAGTTTACCTTTATGATTCAGTTTGACTATTCCTCGTTTTTAATTTTTGGTATAAGTGCAGGTTTTGCACGTTGGTTACTTTTAGGTAATTGTAACCTCTGCTACATTTGTGAATTTTGTGGTTGATTATTTATACTTCCCTTACCTGTTTACTTTAGTTAGTTTGTAAGTTTCTTTTTTGTCCTTACCACTAGTCACAAAGAAAAAAAATTAAAAAATTGTTAACAGGGATTCTTTTCGTTCTTATGTTATTCAGGAGAGGTTTTCCTTTTGTGTCCTTTGTCTTATCGTTTCCTTGATTGGACTCCTAAGTTCGATATTTAAGTGTCTATATTTTCTAAGCTCCTTTAGCATTGCATATTGTTTTCTGTTTTGATTTGAACGTATTAATTTTGCAAGTTTGTTATTATTCTGTACTTGGTAGACTCTACCAATTTTTAGGTTTTGTTAGTTCATTAGTAATGTATAATTTCTCTCAGTATGTTAACTTTATGGGTCTTTTTGGCTACATTCACGACCATTCTTTGAGTTCTACGGTTTCTGTCTGAAGGTTTCTGCCCTCAGTTTTGCTCCTCCCCTCCTATCCACTTACTTTTTGTAAGTCTCCTAGTTATCTTGCCTTGTCTGTTACAGCCCTATGACACTCAAAAGCTGTCAAACAGTTGGTACCCACTAAATCAGGGTTTTACTCTTGTCTACTTGTCGCCCCTGGTAAGTTGGCAGATTGGAGACCTGTACTAGTTGAACTCTTATCTGGTGCTATCTCGCTTCACCATTTCGACCTACCTCTCTTTGGGGGGTTTCCTCTGGAACTATGTTTGACCAACTCGTCGTGACGGATTCTTCTCATCTTGATCCTGCTGCTCCAGTGTATCATCATTTTCTTCGGTTTATCCACAAAGGTCACGTCTTTTAGTTCTGGGTGCTGCTATTTGACTCTTTTTTTTTGGCTCCATGTGTTTTGTTAAGTGTTATGTACTTTTGCCTGTCACATTCACTTGTTGGGTTTTCGGACTCTCCTTTTCATAGATGACTTGATCCTGCTCACCTCTTCCCATGCCAATCGGTGTATCATGCCTGTGTACTTCTTTGGGAAGCTAATCTGGTGGGGTTTTTCTGTTCAAGTTGGAGATGTCCATTCTTACCTCTACTCAATATTTTTTTAATTGGGGTTATTTCTTCAATTCCCATCCTCAATGGACCCAGCCTTCTCCACTTTGTCTCGGGGGATATAGAATGGGCAGTCTGAATAGCCATACCTTCTTTTTTTCTCACTGCTCGAGGAGTTCTATCTCTTTTGGAAATGTGGGATTCCTTGGAAGCGCTCATACGTTCCCTTCAGTGGACACTTCTTGACCAATGGATCTTCTCCCACGATCCCTTAAACTATCCCATTACCCTTCCCTCTGGGTTCAGGACCGACCTTGCTTCGTGGCTTGATGGCGTACTGACTATGGTGGGGGTTCCCATTCCTCCACCTTGTCCAGAGACTCACCTGTTTCCCGATACTTCCTTGGTGAGGTGGGGATTTTCCTGTATTCCCAAGAGATTTCTGGTCAATGGTCTGTTGAGGTTGTTACTCTCCATTTTCAACATCCTGGAGCTTTTGACAGTTTGTTGAGCACTGTATCATCTCCTTCTGTTTCTGAGGGGGGTGGGGGGTTATTGTTCATTCCATTTATTCCACTGTTGTAAGCTGTATCACAAGGCAAAAGGAAACCTAATCAAGATCTCTGTATTTCTTAACTCTGTTTCTTCTTTACTGGGCCCATGACCACAATATGGCAATATGTCATGTTCCCAGCATCACTTATCTCTTTCTCCACGAGTATTTTGGTAGGTGTGTTCTCACCTTGTAACATCTCATATAAATGTATTTGCCACTCACTGGATCACCATCATTCCTTTTTTGTGGTCTCTGGTACCACACCTGTTGGCTCTGAAAGTAGATGCCTTCAGTCCAGTTTGAGGGGTCTTCACCTGTATGCTTACCCTCTGATCACACTTCTCTCCAGGGTCTTTTTCCTTATCCAGATCACTCCTTGTTATGCTCTGGTTGCTCTGTATTGGCAGACTCAGGCAGGTTCCTTCTGCTCTGGCCCTTACTGGAGCAGCAGCCCTGCCCTTACCTCTGTCCTTGTTGCTCCTTGGACTACTGCAGTTGGACAACATTCATTCCAATAGCACCATCCTCTTTCTTCTCATGTGGCTTTTGTCCATTCCATTGCTTCAACTCAGGGTCTCTTCCCTCATGTGGTGTCCTTCATTTTCCATACAAATTGACCTTCCTCCTTGTCTGATCACCTGAGGTGTTAGTCTACTTTTAGACTTTGGTCCATTCACCATGGTTTCTGCCTATTAAGTCCTGTTCCTCATCTGTCCCAATTCTTCACTGGTTGTTTGACCAGGATTTGTCTGTGTCAACTGATGCCCATTATAGGGCTGCCCTGTTGAACACCTTCCATTTCTGGAAAGCCTTCTTCCTTGTTATTTTCCTCCTTTTCTGTTCCTTTCATCTGGTTCATCCACCACCTCCCTTTGTTCTTCTGGATATGGATCTCAATATTGTCCTTCATGCCCTGTAAGGTTCACCCTTGGAAGCCATTGCAATGTGTTCCTTATAACATCCTGCCCTTCAATTCTTTTTCCTCCTCCTGGCTTCCAATCTTCATTGTTCTGATGCTTATGCCATTAATGATTCCTGCTTCTGTTACCATTCTTCATTTTTTCTCCTATATCCTTAACTTCAATTTCCCCTTTGGATCTGAATTACTTCTTTGTCCAGGTTGTTATGTGGCTCATATTGCCTCATTTCTTGGTTCTTGTTCCTGTCTGTTTATTCGTGGTATCCCTCTGTTTTCTATGATCTTTTGCCTGTTACCCTCACTGGTTAATTTTGTCAATTCAAATTATTCATCTATTCTCATTGGTCAGTGGAAGTTTGCCATCTGCTCAATGTTTTTTTGCACCAACGTCGTCATCTGGCTATGTCTTTGACATCTCAAATGGCCTTTGACATCTCAGATGGCCTTTGGAGAAGATTGTTCAAGCCAGTACGTGGACACTTCCAAATATGTTTGTCGCACATTCTCTGCATGACCTGGCTGTGTCTTCCTCTAGTGCATATATTCTTCCTTTTGTGGCAATTCTACACATGTCTGTTTGCCTTTGACTGGGGTAAGTTGACATATTATTATTATTTCTTAGTTTATTTTTGCTTCACTCTGTCCTATTTCAGAATCCCACCTAGAGGTGGGTATTGCCTGGCTAGGTATGCATAATTAGCACGAATTATGAATATTTTCATAATGCCCACTGTTGAGATGGGGTGTTTCTGTAAGACTGCCAGAAGCTTGTCCAGAGGTGTGTGTATATTTATATATTTTTTTAACAAATGTCCTTTATTGCACTCATTGCACTGTCTCCAGTGTGTTGTTACTCTGGAAATACCCCCCCCCCCCCTTCACACACACACACTTCTAGTGGAGCATGGGAATCCTTACCAATTGCAATTTAAGGTTGCTGGAGTGGTAGACTGAGGAGTTTTCCTCCTGGGTGGGTTTTGTATGACCAACACAAACACAAAATGTATAGTTCAAACAATTAAAAATTATTCAGGATCCAAGGTGCTTCACCTGGATGTTTTTACCCAGTGGACTGCACTTGTTGATCAAATAGTTTCGTATGCAAGGCACTTCCACTCAATGTTCAGTCCCAGGTGTTCCACACTTGACATAACAGATCATATTCCAAGGTGTTCCCCCGGATGTTTTCTGCCAAATTGGACTGCACTTGGCCGTATCTTAAGTATCCAAGGCACTTCCCCCTGGTTTTGCAAGGGCGGAATGCACTTGTTGATTCTATATCTCATGCAAGGTGCTTACACTGGATGTTTCTGACTGGTTGGACTGCACTTGGCAAGATCCGTCATATCTCAAGGTGCTTCTCCTTTATGTTTTTTGCCCAGATGGACCACTCTTATTGATCTCACAATAGTATTCAAGGTGTTTCCACTGGATGGACCTCACTTGTTTTACTCTGATGTTACCCAAGTCATTGCCCTTGGTACATACTTATATGAGTCAGTTGTCTCTTGCATGCCAATTCAGTATTGTGTTCTGATTTTGATAACTGTTCCAGAAATAGTGCTCTACCTTCCAGTGTGTTTTCCCTTCATGGTTTTGCATATCCTTGCTTCTGGGGCAGTTGCTTTGAGCGTTCTTGGTTATTTATGGGCCTTCATCTGCCCTTCCATCTAAACAATGTGGGATTCTAGCTCTGGGTGAGTGGTAGTAAGACCGTTTCAGAAGATAACATTTTCTTACACTGAAAATACATTTCTGATAGGTACTTACCCCCACCCTTCCTCCCCACTGATATGCCAGTGTATCTGATGTGTAACTGACAATTCTTGAATGTGAGGTTTGTTCTAGAATAGTAGAGGGAGCTAGCTATGCCAGTATAGATGGTGCAACATAATTGGTGGAGAATGACCACATGATCAGTACATGCTCAAAAGAAAAATAATTTAAATTGAGGGGTATAAAAGACTGGTGTGCTTTTATTACAAACTTTTGGCAATGCTTATAAGGCAGACTAGAATCGAGATAACTGGGTGAGAAGAGGTAAGCACCTATTGAAAATACATTTTCAGTGTAAGAAAATGTTAACATTTTGCTAGCATGGCATACACAACTAACATTGCTAATGTCTGATACTAATAATCATAATTTGAAATAGTAGAGTAAGTTTAGACCTAGCATTGGTACTGCATTACAATATGATTGGTAAAGATTCACTAGATTTAACTGGTACAATTCATGTGCTGCCTCGTATTGCCACATGTATATAGTATTCTCATTTCAAGAACTCTTAAAAATAACTTTTGTGGATAAAGTAAAGTATCTTACCCTATTGAATTATAGAATGCATGAGCTACTTGCAAACATTCCTCATGAAGAATACTTCTTATTATTAATCTTCTTCATTTTACTTAATTCAACATTATATAGGTTTCTAATTTTAACATTTTAATTACTATCATAATAATAAATAAATAAATAATACACATGAAACACAAGAAATATAGGATGTACCTGGGTGTTCTTTTTTTTTTTTTGTCTGTCAACTGTCCATGAAACTTAAGCCCACTTTCTTATGCTCGTGGTACTACCGCATTAAATATTTTTTTATTAATTAAATGATGTACCTAATAACACAGAATAATAACTCATAAAAAGCATTCAATATCCTATAAGTATTTATAATTTTTCTGGATTTCTAACTGTTGATAAGAGCCATTAAAAATTCAGCTAAGCTTGTCAGTGTGTTTTCAATGGGCATAGAGCTTGAACTGGAAGCAAAATAGACTATTCTCTGTACAAAAAAAAAACAATGAAATATAATGCATCATTTGGTAGATTCAAACATTGATTTTCCATTGGTTATAAATAATATAGTATAAAACATCTATCTAAGAACTATTGGCAATTTGTGAGGTGTGGCAAGTGGGTCTGATTTTGTAGTTTATAGTTCCCTAAACAAATAAGATAGAAGCCTATAAAAATTATGGTTTGTCTTAGTAATATCTATATTATAAGTAATTTAAATTAAATTCCGTACTTCTGGGAGGAGTGGTAAATAAATTGCAGAAGAGGGTATACCCAGAGAGTAAATGTCACATTTCTCATACCAAGGGAGTTTGGGGATGTTTCTAAATATTTCCTTATTAAATTAATAACTTAAAACTTAAATAATATTACATAATATTATTATTAATTACATTTTGATGCCAGGTTTATTTGTATACATTGATAACAAAGTAGTTTAATTACATTTTGAATGTAACTCTGTAACAGGTTGTGCCGTGCACTTTGACCTACCTGTTGCAAAATGGTTAATTGTGTATCTGTTATAACGTGTCATTTATTTATTATTTAAGTACAGTATGTTTTCTTCATTGAATAATATCATGATTAAGATTGGCAATTTTAAAATGTGTTCAAAGAAACTGAAATATGCCTGAAATAAAATCTAGCTGGATAAAATGTCTGGATAAAAAAAATGATAAACTTTTGTCTTTAGAGTTAAATTGTGTATATTAATATTGTTTTAATCTTCTGTTAAGTATAATATTTATTTTTATAATATTTTCACCATTTCATAAGTTGAGGATATGCTTAACTCTGTTATAACCAGTGTCTTGAGTTCATACAGGGGCAAAATGATATCAGGTTTTGAAAATTATGTGGTATATCCCATCAGATTACCTCTAAATTAATATTATAACTAAAATGTTATGATTTGAAATTTTATTTTTATACAACTTCTATTGACACTTGTTTTGGATGAAGTAATTAAATAAAATTGAAACTGCTAGCCCTAATTTTAATTATTATTGAAATGGTGGAAATTACTATAGTTCCTACCTGTGCAGATACAATTTGTCAGTGAATGAGTAAGTTTGCATTCATTTGAGGCTTATTTTTAGATCTAATAATTAGAAAACAGTAAATTTTTATAGTTGGTGATATCAAGAACTCTTAAAGTTAACTATCAGCATGTTTTGTTTTACAATTTTTCAAGTTTGTGAAGTTGACAAAGTTGTAAATATCTATGGACTAAGACCTGAAAGTATTTCATTTCTTGCACTGTACGTGCCATACAGTTCCTTGTTTAGTAACATTTGATTGTAAAGTTATAAAATGTCAGGGCTAAGTGGGGTTTTTGTCTTGTAAACTGGTAATGGTTTTCTATTATTTGTATGCTATGACATGGTAATAAATTAACTTAATGAGACTCTGTTCATGTTTATTTTACTGAAGTAATTGTCTTGGCACATAATTTTCTGTTTACAATAATTTACTAATTTTATTACTTTAAGGGCATTTGAACACATTTACATGAACTAGTAAAATGAGGGCATAGATAAGTTTTAATTTTTAAAATATAATGAGATATTTATATTAGTTTTGATGGTTTAGACAATAATTTATTGCAGCATTGTTTTCATAAAAGGGCATAGCACGTGACATTATTAGGCCTATAATATAAGTGCAAAAATTGCCTATGTGGGTCATGTGCAATAGCATAATAAATAGCTGAGTAATGTAGTAATTTTGTATTATAGATCATAAATTGGCCAAAAAAATGAAGTGTATATTTTGAAAGGTTCTGTAGTTATGCTGTGTGTTTGAAGTATGTGTTTCTGATATGGTGACTTTTATGAGTTATTAATAAAAGGTTGAAGGTGGCAAATATTTACCAACATGCTGTAAATGATTAAAGATTACCTTCACATATTATCAATGAGGTATGGAAAGATACATTTTTTTATTTTGATTTTAGGCACTTGTGTATTACACTTTTGCAGCTTTGGGTGGAGATCACTGGGCCCAGATGATGTTAGTAAGTAACTTTAATTATTTTTAGCCATAGGAATCTGATATTGTATTAGTGAGTGCAAATAGTAAAAAAAATACTTGTTAGAGAATCCCTATAAATTATTATATATTAAAAACTACTTATTTTATGGTATCAAAATTTCACCAGAGGTACATTGAGAATTAGCTTATTCAGGAAAGCTTTGACATGATACAATGTGGTTCAAAATGATGTTACACTCAATTTTAAAATTACTTTTGTTGCAAACTAGTATTGCTTTTATTTCTCTTCTCTCTCTCTCTCTTTCAACGGTACCAAATTGATCATTGGAATAAAATGAGTATCACTATACAAAATACCATAAGGATTAGTGAACACTTTCCAGAACAGATAATGCTTGCTGTATCTTCATATAAAGAGAGTCTGATATCCCAAATAAGAATCATGAAAAATACATTAAAAATCTGTTATAATAGTTTTTAAAACATACTGTACCATGGCCAAACTTTTCTCAATAAAATTTATGGCTCTCAGTGTGGTTCTGATAGTATTAGGTTCTCCCATAACAAATAGTTTTTAACATATAATTATTTTAGAGATTTTCTCTTTAATATCTCTGTGTATTCCAGTGAAGAATTTTTATGGCTTGGGTATTTGAAAGTCTTTCCTGTTTACTTTGTGCCATAATAAACAATTGGTGTTACTTATGGGGTTTGACTCCTTTTTAATTCACCATAAAGTAATCTAAATTAATTTAGGTGTTTGAATAATATTGTGGTATTATTCCAAATTTATTATTCAATATTATACAGCAGACAAACTATTTAATGATTATAAATTTATATATGTTACAGATTTTTCTTTCACCAAAGGTAAAATTGAAAAGAGAATCAGTAACATAGAGCCATTCTTTGATTGGCTGTACTCTCTGCTGTGAATTGCAGTTAACACAGCTTTGGTCGGGAAACAAAAGAAAAAGAGTTAGGCCTCTTATAATGGTGATATGTATATAAGTTATAGGGTTTTTGACTCCTTTTTAATTCACTATATAGTAACTTCAGTAATTTACATAAGTGTATAATATTGTGACATTGTGCCAAATTTATTATTTGAAATCATTAACATATACATAGCCCACTACATCACAAATATTTAAAATTTTACCTTTGGTGAAAAAGAAATCTTTAATATACATATATATATATATATATATAATTGGTATTATCGTCAACACACAATAAGATCTTACAAAAGTAGTAAAATAAAAAAAAATGTTTAAGCAATAATCATAATTTTAAACTCCTAGATATATAGTTTGTTTTGAGAATGAAACTACTGGGTGAACTTCAATTCAACTTTCTATATAATAATAAAATATTTTGTTTTTGTTGTGTGTGGAAGCATGAGTACTTTTTTATTTTCTATAATTTTTTAATTCAAGGATCCAATTTTTTTGTCAGAGCAGGATGCAACCAGCAGGGCAGCATAGAATTAAATAGTTTGGAAATAATAATTATTTAGTAGTCAAACAGTGTTATTGTGAACATGTGCTCAGCTCTTGAAAAAGTATCAACTACTTCCAGAAATTCTTTCTGCTTTTGTTCTATAGCATGTGGTTTGCTGACCAGTTAATTGAAAATCTCCTTTATATTTGCATCTAATTATTTCACAAATCGGCTGTCCTGTAGTCATTTCTAATGAAGGAAAAGATATTTTTACTGTGTTTGAGCATGTATTTGTTTGCATGTTGAGTTACCTCTTAATGAAAAGTTCCAACACAGTGTAGTGAGATAGATTATTACTAGGGTAGGTTGTTTCCTATTACAACTAAATATTTACATAGTCAGAAGTAGGAATTACTACAAATATTAGGATATTATAACAAAGCTCATACCCCATAGTTTTAACTGTTTGTCTGATATTAGAATAATTAGAGACATCATAAAGTGTAAAACAAAATTAGTAAAATCATTTATAATAAGACATAAGGAATAAATACGTAGCATTAAAAGATGGAGCAACATTTCTTCCAGATGGACTGTTTTTCTTGATTTTTATTTCTAAAGTCTTGTTTGTGGACTTTTTGTTTATAATTTTAGGAATGTTTATGTTTTGTAGGGATATCGTCACTTGTCAGGAGTTGGAGTAATGATGAGTTGTGAATCAGCTCTAACTTATTATAGGAAAGTGGCAAAACATGGTAATTATTTTCATAAAATTATTCAGTGTCTATACATCTATGTTCTTTCCTGAAACATAACCACAAACACAACCAAAATACATTTATTTGATTAACCTTGTACATAATGGAGAGTTAAATTGTACATGTCACGGCCTTTTTTACAGCATTAAATTTAACTAAATTACTTTATTATCAGTGTATTCTGATGAACTTAGCATTGAAATGTAGTTTATAATTCAATTTTTTTTATATTATTTAAGCTTCTTAATTTCTTAATTTCAAAAGGAAACATTTAAATAAATTCTCACTCTTTACCTCTCTTGGCTTACATAATGTGGTGGCATCTGACTAACTGTATATAGGTTTTTTCCTTACCTTATAAGGGTTTCAGATTGTTCAACCAATTAGAAAATACTGTAACTATTAACAAGCCAGAATATAGAATTTCAACCTTTTCTTGCTTTACTGAGATACCACTTTATTTGTTCAAGACACACAACATGCTCCTTCCATCTCATCTGTCGTTTATGAAAGTTCTATAATTCTTTCTGACATTGCTATATGACATGTTTATCACCAATAAAAAGAGCATATTCTGAACCATGTAAATCAGATGATTATCTGTTTTATTTTAAAAGTAAATACCAATAGTTTGCAAGGAGAACAAGATGTAATTAGACTAAAGACTTTGCTCTCAACAGTAATGGACTTCTTAAACCTACTTATAGCTTATTTAAAAGCCAAGTAAATTGATACATTTTTTGTTATAAAATGCATATTTGAAAGCTGTCTATGTAACTTTTGAGCAACCAATATAGTGAGGAAAAATAGGCTTCCAAAACCATGCATCTGAGTGCAAAAGGACTCGAGGCTAAAGTAAGAGCTGAAGTTCTTTGCTTTTTATGTATATATATTTTTTATTGTGTATTTTTTTAACAAAAGTAACTAAAAGTAAAATTACAAACATATTAGGTTAGATAAGAAAATTTAAATGAAAAAATCAATAAAAACTTTCTTGTGATCTCTCTTTAACCCTCTTGTCACACGCAGGTCAAAGTGTGCATGTCATGACTTGTTAAGAGAGTTGTATTCAAAATTTAATTAAACTACTTTATTATCATGGTATATAAATAAACATGGCATCAAAACGTAGTTAATAAATCAAATTTAATATTATACAAGTTTTAAGTTCTTAATTTTATAAGGAAATATTTAAAAGAATATTCAATCTTCCTTAGTATAAGAATTGTGACATTTGCTCTCTAGGTCTGCCCTCATTAATTTATTTACCACCCCCCAAGTAGTACAAAATTTAATGTAAATTATTCATAATAGTATAGGTATTATTCAGGCAAAGCATAATTTTTATAGCCTTCAATCTTATTTGTTTACAGAGCGATAAGCTAGAAAATCAGACCCACTTGCCTTGTCCACCTGTCATATCCTCTTTCACAAGTTACCAGTAGTTCTTTCCACCATTTGATACTAAATTATTTTTAACCAATAGAAAACAAAGGCTTCAATCTATAAAATGACATGTTATATTGAATTATATCTTTACAGAGAATTGTCTATTTTGTTTCCAGTTTAAACTTTGTTCCCACAGGACACACATCAACAAGCTTAGCTGAAGTTTTAATGACTTATCACATAGATAGCTAGAAAAATTATGATAGTTATATAGGACATTGTCTGCTTTTTATGTTTTACTCTTCTGTGTTTTTAGATACATAATTTAATTAAATATATTATTTAGTGTAGTGGTACCATTAGTATTAAAAAGTAAGGTTAAGTTTTATGGACAGCTAATAGCAAAAAGGGAAGACCAAAGTAAGTACTATATTTCTTGTTTTTCATGATTAAGAAGTTAGCACACAGAATCACCTATAAAAGTTGTAATGTTTTCAAAGGAGACCCAAAACTCTAATGCTGTTGAATAGTTGACTTTTTTTTTTTCAGGAGAAAAATGTGTTACATTTAATGAGTGTAGCAAAATATATCCACTGATGGCACTGTTAAATACTGTAATGCCAAATGGCATCAATCTAGATCTTGTGATGACCTTCGCAAGTTACTGAAAAGATTTTCAAAACTAAATTCATAATTAAACTTACTTTACATTATTAGTATTATTCTTGCTTAAATTTCTCTGTATTGGTATTATTTCCTATATATTGCATCACATTATTATTTTTTCTATTCCCTACCACCTTTTGCTGTTATTTTATTGTTTATTTTTTATTATATCTTTATATAAAATTGGTTAACAATTCTTATAACTATTAACCCACTTAAGTCCTTTATGTACCTTACACACCTTTTTTGCACAAACTAAACCTCACGTAAACAACTCTAGAATATGATTGGCTAGTTTTCAAGGCCAACTCATATTAAACATACAGTTTACATGACATTGACATCTGTGCCTATATATTTCATTACACTCATTAAACATAACCCTTTATTCTCCTGAAGAACAATAGTCAACTATTTGAAAGTACTCAATTTTTGGGTATCGTTTGAAAACATTCTTGTTTTTCATGTGTATTCTTTATTATTATAAAAGCAACTAAAAGGTAGAAATTAGAAACATGTTAGGTTAGGTAAGGTTATATTAGGTAAGGTAAAGAAAAATAATAATGAAAATATTTTTCACTGTTCACCCAATGATTTAAAACTTGTGTGATAGGAAAATTAGAAAGGTATGGTTCAAAGGGCAATAAAACAATAACCTTTAGGTAGAAACAGATGTATACTGTTACAAGCTTTAAGCTATTTAGGATAAATAAGCCTAGTTTCCTGTTACAATTTAGATTTATTTCATATTTTTTTATGGTGGATATGAGGTTTGTCAAATTGACCAATCTCATGTGGTGTTAGCGTTGAGAAATAATGGATAGAATATAAGATTTTACTGGAAAAAAACGTTTGAAATTTATTTAGGAGGTTTTAGAGATTGTGTAAATGAAATTGAAAATTTTCAGATGAAGAAAAATAATTTTAGTTTTAACATGAAAATCACTTTACACTCAGAACAGTCAACACTTTGATTTCATATGTTCACAGAGAAATGTTTAGTAAAAATACTTCATTAAAAATTCTGATTTTTTTTTGTCTACAAAAGACTTGTAATATTTACTGAAAGCTTGCAAAACATTGTGAAAATACACAAAACATGTTAGAAGTTATAGTGTGGAAACTCAAAATGTCAATTTGGGCTTACAAACTCTGCCAACTTTTTTTACAACGTATGTCAATAATATTTAATAAAATCTGAAACTTCATTTTTCTGTCTGAGCTCTAAATTTTCTACTTCAGAATATTCCAATTTCTAAAAAGGCTGCTGTACTTTTCTTCCAATTAGAATGACAAACTACACATAATTACAAGCAAGAATCTAAAATATGAACCTCTTGTCTTTTTTATTTGCTGAGATATCAATAAATTTGTCAAACCCACCTGAAAACAGATGTGAATAAGTTTAACTTTGGAAATCTTAAGTAATTTGGACCATTCTAATTAATACTGCAGGTAGTGCATAAGAATTATGGTATTATTCATTTTATTTCAGATTTTTAAACGTAATTTAACTTTACATTGATGATTTCTCTACAGTTTGTGTTTGGATAGAGCTAAAATCAAAGATTTAAAAAAAAATGTTTGATATTTGTTCAGGTAGTTCTAGAGGTTATTAAACATTAAGAAATATTTTTATTCTAAGTCGACTGACTCAATAATGGCTTTGGAAATTCCCAGATAAACCTTTAGTAGAGATATTTTATTACAAAATCTGGTGTTGTATGCATCACAGACTTAAAGATGGTCAAATGTTGTGAACTTACACATAGTAAGTACACAGTTATAGTACGTATAGAGCTATTAGATAGATCCAGTAAATAACTGGAGTTGCATTCAAGATATCAGTAATACTCTTACTTTACTGAGTCAGTGTTAAGCAGAATAATAAGTTTGGTAACAAGCAACATGTAGCAAATTCTTTCTAGACAATTACTAGGTTTAAAACACAATTTTGATTAGATTGATATTAACTTGGATATCTATGTACATGTAGACATAAAACAGAATTATTATATTTCATAACTCAAAGGTATACTATAATGTGGGAACATAGCATTTTTATATTATTCCTCTAAAATCAATTGAAGATCAAAACTTTTTTTATAATTCACTTTTGTTTGCAAGATACCTGTAACTGTTTAGCTAAAATAAGTACTTAGTGCAGGCTATAAAGAAATTTAATTTTTGATTTAGTTAATACTGCTAAATTTGTTGAAATAAGTTGTTTCAAATGGAACTTGTATTTCAAGTGGACATACCTTATTTATATTAAACAACAGTTGCTTGTATGTTTCTAATCTAGTCTGTCATCTAGTATTCCACTCTGATTACTCAAATGTGGATGATATTTCATCAACTTATAAGCAGCTTTGTTTATGTAGCACTTGAAAACTTGTATGTGTTGTTGAATTTAGGTTAATTATTATATTAGCATAATGTGTTTTTTACTCAAGTACTGGATGAAGTTGTTAAAAATTTTTTGGTATTGTAATTTGTCTTGTTTAAAGGGTTATACATTTTTAGAAAAAATTTTTTATGGAAGATTTATACAACATATATAAAAAAAAGGGGCTGGAACAGTCACTGGTTCAAACATCACACTGCAAGGCACATAGATATTATGAAGTGGCATGTAACTGACTGCGTAGTTCCTATTAACTCTTTCATCATGGGCTCGGTCCCTGGGACCAACTTCATAACAATTTTGTGCTTGTTATAGTTTGCATGCTATAACTTTTAAATTAGTAAGTGAATGTTAACAAAATTTAGAAGTTTATCAGTAAACATTACAATGCAAAATATCTAATTTTTATATTAAGTCTTAAGGTTTGTAAAGCAATGTTTTTCTCATGTCTTTTTTTCTTTTAGCACGTTGCCTATCTATCATGCAAAGTAATATTCATTTTAAGATTAAAAATACTTTTATGCATCAGAAACTT